ATTTCGGATCTGAAGATCCCGACGTGTTTTTTACTGAGTTGGTTGCATTCCTTTCTTCTTTCTGATGAAAATGATGCAAAATTCGAGGCATTTTGAGATATTTTTAATTTTTCGAAAAAATCGACCCTCCGCCCTTATGAAAATTTTGGTCAAAAATCAAAATTTTACAAGCGTGTTTTTTGCGCTCATTGGATTGTTTCCGACCTGAGAATCTTCCCAATGTTCATATATAAAGTTTTTGGGTGTGTATTAAGGAAGATTTTGTCGGTTAAAAGGCGTGACCGCGCAAAAACGACTCAAAATGAACAGAAAATGGCGATTATTTCGGATCTGAAGATCCTAGCGTGTTTTTTACCACGTTTGTTACATTTCTCGTTTCTTTTTAATAATAATAAGGCAAAATGCTCAGAATATAAGTAAAATTAATTAACGATTTGATGATACTGCTGAGCGGTTTCTGTAAGAACAAAGCTCAGAACAAATTGAGTGAATATTTAACCGACTTTGGCAGACAAAAAGGACATTTTGTTCAGTTGCGACTAATCTTTATTCTTACAGCAAATGCAGGTTAGCATATACGTACATATATGTACGTGGTGGTTCATAAGTGATCCTCTGAAGAGGTTCTGAAGGATCCTTAAAGAATGGGAAAATATTGTTTTTAGGGGTTAGAATTCGGATGATTTGCAAACTCATTCCCCACTCTGTGTATGGTTTTTAGTCGTTTATCTTCCGAGACGATTGAAATAAGCTACTTCATTGCACACAGCACTTGAAGCGACTAGTTGAAAGTGAAAACTGCGTCTCTGAGCTGAAAAGTGTTCGAGCCCTAAGGGAATAAGTGAACGCTGAGACGACGAACGATTTTATTAGATTGGGCCTAGCAGTTTAAAGGCAGTCGATCAAATTACTGGCAGAAAAATGCTACACTAAGCAAATTAATGTTCGTCGAGTTCCTGTCGATGCTCGAAAAAAACGGCGCCTGTCGCAAACTGTTTGGGAAATTTGCATTCAAATTATGTAGTGTTTTCCATCAAGCGGCGGGCATGATTAAAGCGACAGGAAATTTCCGAGTGAGCAGCCAGAAAACCTTCATCGGAGACGACATCAAGTTTTCGTATTCCAGCACAAACAACCGTAATTTGTAACCAAGGCGGTGCTCAGCCGGTGAAGAATATAATATCCCGCGGGATTCCTAAGACGTCCCGGTTAATTCCCATCAGGCGTCGATGGAATGTTTAATGCGTGAACTTATCTTCAGTCGACCATTTGGGAGGCTCAATAATGCGTTGGGCACTCTCACTTAAAAACTTAACCGAGAACGACTGATTTCATAGTCGCCAGAGGCGCTACAGACGATAAAGAGCTACAGATTAAATCATGAAATAACCCACTGTAGGAAAATATTCTGTGGA